TATTACGAAAAAAAATGCGACATGGGATACCTTGCCATCCTCAGCATCGAGTGCGTAATCGGAAACGAAGACAACGGCAACGATCACGTTCTTTAACTAAGCATGGACCACTGTATAATACTAATACTAATAGGAGTGGATATAATGCGATTCACAATAGTCAACGACGTTCGCCTACATCGGCAATAACTTCAAGTGAAGAAGAAACCACGCACAATGAAGATAATGATGATGAAGAAGAGGCTGCACATTTTTCACCGAGAAGTACATCTACGACGACATTTAATCTACCACGTAATCGTAAACCAATTCTACCATCATCTGATTTCAATCGGCGTTTATGTGAACTAGAAAATAATAATCATCATAAAATTACAGTGAATGACATACCATTTCAACAACAGCAAAAACTAGTTGAAGTACCAACGACAAACAAACGACGTTATTCATTGGGTACAATCAAGAACCACAATAATCATTTTCATCTCCGCTCACTCAGTCATCATTCGTTTAGCATCATACAAGCCCCATAGTAAATCAAAATAATGAAAATTTAATTGTTTACAGTAATAGAGAGTTAAATACAACACTTTTTCAAATGAAAAGTTTTGCTACGCGAAGTATAACAAGTAGAAAAAAGGTAGTATTGATCTAATACAAGAAGTTCAAAAATTCACTTTACGTGGTTATTCACCTGACAGCGGCATTAGCGGAAAAACTTAGAATTTTTGTCGTGTGTTTGTCCTCGTATCTATTTATTTATTTCCTGTGTGTCTGTGAACTTTAGATTTTTGGTGTTATTTGTTTTTCTTCTTAATACTACGGTGCTTTTGACAACGACAGATTGTATATGGTGCATTTTTGTTTATCTCTAACATAACTGAATTTATTAAATTTGTAGATATTTTTAGATATTCATAGTCAGATGTAAAAATTGTACAGAATACTTAAGATTTATAAATTAAATTATATTTGATACACTACTTTTTCATTTGTTGTATTAGTATTATACAGTGGTCCATGCTTAGTTAAAGAACGTGATCGTTGCCGTTGTCTTCGTTTCCGATTACGCACTCGATGCTGAGGATGGCAAGGTATCCCATGTCGCATTTTTTTTCGTAATA